TATAAATATATATAAAATTATTAGTGTCCTGGTTTTGTTTCTCTAGAGAACCCTTTCCAGATGAAGTACACACAAATCAAATTGACCACAACTGTGGAAAAGGATGACAGAGAACCCTAACTACAGACAAAGCAAGGCCAGGAACCAACGATGGAACAGATCATCATTGTTCCTATGTAAGTTCAGGTTAAAGTTGAAGAAAATGAAAAGAAGTTCATGAAAGCCAAAATATGACCTTGGTTATATCCACCCTGTGTTTTGAGAACATTTCAAAAGTATTTTTGATATATGGAAAATTAAGATGGAATATCAATGATCTGTGGGATAACATAAGAATATCATACATGTAAAAATCAAAAGTTAAAGAGAAAAAAGTGAAATCAAAATGGTTGTCAGAACAGATTCTGAAACTTGCTCTTAATTATAAACTAGCTAAGACAAATGGAAGAAATGATGAAGTAAAAAAGCTGAACAGAAAATTTCAAAAGGCAGGTCTAGATTACAAAATAAAATATTATAATGAAATGTGTAAACCAGGGGCTTAGGTGGAAAGCAAATGTTTTGAGAATGATGAGGGTAATGAATGTACAAATGTGTTTTACACAATTGATGTATGTATGGATTGTGATAAGAGTTGTATCAGCCCCTAATAAAATAATTAAAAAATGTGTAAAGACTTTGAGTTAGAAAATCTACGAGGAAGAACATGGTAAACATATCTTAAACTAGAAGAACTAAAAAAAAAAAATTCAAGCCACGACTTATAATATTTAAATGTTCTATGAGAAAATTATTGAATGATGTAGAAGCGTCCAAAGAAGATGGAAAGAATCCACAGTCACTGTATGAACAACAACGGGTCAGCATTCAGCCATTTTGAGAGGTAGCATATGAACAAGATCTAATGGTTCAAAAAAGAGAAGATCAAGCTGCACTGCAGTCATTAGCCAACAAAGCTCCAGGAATTGATGGAATGCAAATTGAAATGTTTCAGCAGGCTGAAGAAGCACTAGAAGCACTTACTCATCTATGCCAGGAAATTTGGATGACAGCTACTTGGCTCACTTACTGGAAGTGATCCATCTTTGTACCCATTCCAAAGAAAGGTGGCCCAATAGAATTTGCAAGTTACAGAACAATATAATTGATATCAAATGCAAGTAAAATTTTGATGACCATTCAACAGTGATTGCAACAGTAAATTGACCAGGAGTTTCAGGCTAGCTTCCAAAGATGTCAGGTAGATCTTTGTTCAAAGCAGAGAATACCAGAAAGATGTTTACTTGTGTTTTAGTGATTATGCAAAGGTATTCGACTGTGTGGATCATAGCAAGCTGTAAATAGCCTAATACCTCATTGTACTCATGAAAAACCTGTACTCATGGATTAGAACAAAACAAAGGAATACAGTGTGATTTAAAAATAAAAAAAGATGTGCATCAGAGTTGTATCCTTTCACCATACTTATTCAATCTGTATGTTGAGCAAATAATCAGAGAAGCTGGATTATATGAAGAAGAATGCTGTATCAGGATTGGAGGAAGACTGATGAACAACCTTTGCTATGCAAATGACCAACCTTGCTTGCTGAAAATAAGAAAGACTTGAAGTACTTGCTGATGAAGATCAAGGGTTGATCTTCAGTATGGGTTACAACTCAGTGTAAAGATGATCAAAGGCCTCACAACTGCACCCCGAGGTAACTTAATGATAAACGGAGAAGATTGAAGTTGACAAGGGTTCATCTTGTTTGGACACAATGCTCATGGAAGCAGCGGTCAAGAGATCAAAAGACACATTGCATTGGGTAAATCTGCTGCAAAAAGATAAATAATCCAATGATTTTGTTATGAACTGAAAATCTCTGGCTTTTCTTCTTTGGAGAAAAGCCAGTAAGTTTCTCCTGAGTGGTTTGCCACCACAGCAAAGGGAGCCAAGCACACAGGACATCAAGACAAGGTTGTATGAGAAGACAGTAAGCAAAGATTTATTAAGCAAAGTAGCTTCAATTAGGAAGCGAGGCACCTCATGATTTGAGGAAGATGGCAACATCTAGGGGAAAAACATTGGATTTTATAGGGGTCCAGTGGCAGTAGGACCCCCATTGGATCGCTTCAATCCCTATCCTGATTTCCCATTGGCCCGTATTCTTGCATTCTGACTGGTCCTTATTCCAGTACAAGGATTGCTCTCATAAGCCACAGCATGTGCACCAGTGTTGGGACGAATCATGTAGATCTTCTGGAAAGGATCATGTGAAGCCGTTTGAGATGGGCCATCCAGACCTCTAGCTGACCCTGACGTGACCAGAGGCAGTTTGAGATGGGCCATCCGGACCTCTAGCTGACCCTGGCAGTTTTTGTTGTTGTTTTGTATGATTGCATGCATGTGAAATTCAGGATAAGGTAAACCTATAAGGGCAGTAACTGTATTAATAATTTCTTAAGGGTATAGCAGGGGAGGTTGAGGGTGAATGGGGATGTAATGACAATGAGTAAAAGAAAAAGTTCTAAAACTGATTGTGGTGATGACTGAACAATTCTTTTTTTTAATATAATTGAACTATTGAATTGTCAATAAAATTGCTTGTTTAAAAATATGTTTACAAGCGAGGATGTTACTTTGAGGACTAAAGTTCACCTGACCCAAGCTATGGTATTTTCCATCGCCTCATATGCCTGTGAAAGTTGAGCATTGAAAAAGGAAGACCAGAGAAAATGGATTCACTGAGCTTACGGTACTGGCGAAGAATCTTGAAAGTACTATGGACAGTCAAGAGAACAAAAAGACTTTCTTGAAACAAGTATGGCCACAACACTCGTTAGAAGCAAAGAGCTAAGACTTAAGAGATGCTGGGGCCCACTTCACAAACTTGTTCCTTACGGTGGTGGTAAAGGACATGCTACCAGGAGAGACCAGTCTCTGGAAAAGGTCATCATGCATCTGAAGTACTGAGGGGCAGTGAGAAAAGGGAAGAGCCTAGAGATGAATCGATACAATGGCCACAGTGATGAGCTCAAAGTCTTGTGAGGGTGGCACAGCACGGGGCAGTGTTTCATTCTATTGTACAAAGGTTCGCTCTGAGTTGGAACATGCTTGATGGCACTCACAGCATATAACGTAACCCCTTTCGCCGCCTTTTTCTTTAGAATGGACGGTAGAGCTCTGAGACACTTCACAAACTTGTGATAAGAAATGAAAACTATGTTCATCTGATCAATGGAGGTACGTATGTCTATGATAATCTATTTTACTTCTCTGACTCCAACTTGGCATTCAACCAATACTCTGTAGCTCGTTCTTTCACCATGTGCCCGCTCTGCAGTGTCCAGTCTGCAATCGATAGGCATGGGGCTGACTTGGGAGCTGTAGGAAGCTAGGGACATACCTACCTGCTGTCCAGGAGCCCCTTATACTGGTGTCTCCTTGTGACTAAACATCTTGTCTTCTATGAACCATGCCCAAGTCAATTTTTACTTGGCTATGAAAGCTTTTCCAGAAAGTTAAGTCTTCCCTCCTGTTAGAACTGCTATCTATATAGACCTATAATTATCTTTAAGGAGTCTGGTAGGGTAGTGGGTTTGGTATTGGCTTGACAATCACAAGAATGGTGGTTGAAAACCACCAGCCATTCTATGGGAGAAGGATAAAGATGTCTGCCCCTGAGAAGATTTAGACTATCAGAAACCTGTGGAGTTTTACCCTGTCCTACATGGTTGTTGTGCGTTACAATAAAACCAATGGTAGTGGGTTTGGTTTTTCACGCTGGTTACTGATATAAATATGTATCAGTTAACAGGTATGAATTGACTTCAAGATACTCCATTGCAAAGACAACACATTTCTTAATTTTTCTAAATGAAAAAGCAGCTGCTGAGTTCCCCACTCCTACTGCTGTCGTAAACCAACCTAACCCGTGCTGTAGTGCCCCTTTCCTTCGGTCTGAGTGACATCCAAGACTCCTCCCATCTGCATTCTTAGAAG